AAAAAAAAAAAAAAAGAATACATATATTATCCAGAATACACTTGTTATAACACTTCAGTGAATAACCTGTGCCTTTTATTTTTAGTTTTTCTTTTTTTTCTCTTTTGTCCCTGTGCCTTTCACTTGATTCCTGTATTTCCTCAGCGTTCATTAATTAATTAATTAATTAATTATTTTTTTTGAGGCGGACTCTCGCTCTGTCGCCCAGGGCTGGAGCGACTCTGCAAGCTCCACTCACTGCAAGCTCCGCCTCCTGGGTTCACGCCATTCTCCTGCCTCAGCCTCCCGAGTAGCTGGGACTACAGGTGCCCGCCACCAGGCCCAGCTAATTTTTTGTATTTTCAGTAGAGACGAGGTGTCACCGTGTTAGCCAGGATGGTCTTGATCTCCTGACCTCGTGATCCGCCCATCTTTGCCTCCCAAAGTGCTGGGATTACAGGCATGATCCACCGTGCCTGGCCTTCCTTAGCGTTCATTTATTTACAAATAATGAGAGGTCATATTATATCATTATTATTACTATTTATTTATTTCATTTTCTGAGATGGAGACTGTCTCAAAAAATAAATTAAATAAATAAAATAAAAAAATAAAGCCTATGTTTGTCACTGTACCGTGGAGAGGCAACATACATAGTGGTTTAGAGAACACACACTGCCTTGGGTTGAATCCTAGCTTTGTTATTTACTTTGCGACTTTAGGTAAATTATCTCATCTTGGCTGGGCATTGTGGCTCACGCCTGTAATTCCAGCACTTGTGAAGGCCAAGATGGGGATGGCTTGAGCTCGCAAGCTTGAGACCAGCCTGGGCAACATGGCGGAACCCTACCTCTACTATAATAAAAATACAAAAGTTAGCCAGGCGTGGTACATGCTACTTGGGAGGCTGAGGTGAAAGGATGGCTTGAGCCTGGGAGAAGGAGGTTGCAGTGAACCAAGATTGTGCCACCACTCTCCAGCCTGAGCAATAAAGCCAGACCTTGTCTCAAAAAGAAAAACCACGTTTCCTTTTATTTTTTTAGACAGCCTGTCACTCTGTCGCCAGGCTGGAGTGCAGTGGCACAATCTCGGTTCACTGCAAACTTGCCTCCCGGGTTCAAGTGATTCTCCTGCCTCAGCCTCCCAAGTAGCTGGGACTACAGGTGTGTGCCACTACGCCTGGCTAATTTTTTGTATTTTTAGTAGAGATGGGGTTTCACCAGGTTAGCCAGGATGGTCTTGAACTCCTGACCTCGTTATCTGCCCACCTCAGCCTCCCAAGGTGCTGGGATTACAGGCGTGAGCCACCATGTCCAGCCAAACAAAACCATCTTTCTGACTCTGTTTTTTTTTTTTTTTTTCTTGAGACAGAGTTTCACTCTTATTGCTCAGGCTGGAGTGTAATGGCATGATCTTGGGTCACTGCAACCTCCGCCTCCTCGGTTCAAGCAATTCTTCTGCCTCAGTCTCCTGAGTAGCTGGGA